TTAACCAACAAGGTTGTGTSAATTATTTTCCAGAATTGGTCAAGAATTGAATGGTATCTATGAAGATAGACTTCATAATGAGACTTCAGCATTTGAAGATGCTGGTAGGTTATATTATAGACAACACTAGTAATAGCAASGGACTGTTTCTGAAATACAAAATCAGGGTGCATTGTGGTCTAGCTTTTAACCACCCCTTGAATTCTTGTATGCTGATTGGCTGTTCAGAGTCTGACATCATAAAAGTATTCGTCCTAAAAGATTTCTCTGTGCTTTTGGATCTGCTTGAGTTTTGAACATTTTTGACTTAAAAAGTGTGACAACAAGAGGACTTACACTGCAAAACTGTCATATTCACCATAATCAATGCTATTATCATCATCATTAATTGTGTCCTATTCCTTGCTCCTAGGAATAATCAAAAATACAACAACTCACTTCAATTATCACTATCATTCTGCTGAGTAAGTACACTGTGGTGTGGTGTGGTGTTGGTGGTGTGGTGTGGTGGTGTGTGGTGTGGTGTGGTGTGTGCTGTGCTGTGCTGTGCTGTGGTGTATTGTGGTGTGGGTAGTGTGGTGTAGGTGGTGTGGTGGTGTGGTGTGGTGTATTGTGGTATGGTATGGTGTGCTGTGCTGTGGTATGGGTGGTGTGGTGTAGGTGGTGTGGTGTATTGTGGTGTGGGTGTGGTGGTGTGGTGTGGTGTATTGTAGTGATAATACAGTGAGATTTTTCAAAACAGTTTGCAGATTTTCCATGTATTTTGTTTTTAGATTTGACACTGTGATACATGTAATAATGTGACTCACTCGTAATTATGTCACAAAATGTTCATATTAATAAAAATGTTGTTTTCTTTGATAGGCCAACTGCTGCTTGTCCTTCTGGAAGACATGTTGTAGTAACATTGATGTGTGATCATGCGGTTCCCAAAAAGGTACATGTCTATGTTCAGATAGGATAGGTAGGAAGTAGTCTTTTAGTATCGAATACAAACAATAAAAGTACAAAAACGTACTAACCAAATAT